TATCCTATTGTTTGACTAAAATTTTGAAAAAGATATTATTTGATCTTTCATTTTGACAATTTTATTATGTAGGACTTGCATTTACATAATATTTAATTCTACAAAATGCCTAGGAAGATAGGAGGGTTTACGTCATATCGAACGACGACCTCGGAATTCTAAGGCGAGTTAGGGCTTATGTTGCACAATGTGCAAAAGCCTAAAAGATAGAGTGAGGGTTTATGTTTCACTATACAGACTTTCTCGAAGTCCTATGATTTGTTCTTAGGTTTCTAAGGAAGAGACTAGACCTTAATTTTATGAAAAAAAATAATCTTGATTTTTTTGTTTGCTTGAAACAAAACTCACCAACTATACCCTATCTTACTTTCTTTCTAATCACTATTTCTCTATCTTCCCTAACGAACTTTCTATTCATAATTATCATACCTTCGAGCATGTTAGAATATGAGTTAAATAGAATTCCTCTAGTATTGCTTTTATTGTGCTAGACATTCAGCCCCAATAAATCTATAAATCCATCTCATTGTCCTCCTATACCAATTTTCTTAATACTTTCCACTATGTTGATAATTGTATATCAAAAGAAAGGATTTGTGGCTAGCGCTTTCTAATATGACAATTTTTATCTTTGAGCCTTATATTATTTTGGTTGATTTCAATTGTATCCTTCATCCTAAAGAGAAGGTGTGTGACATACTTCATTTTCCAAGCAAAATGGTCAATTCTAATAAATATATTTTTGATTTTAGTCTTATGGAGCTTAATAATCATGCATTTGCATGCAGTTGGTTTAACTAAAAAAAATTGAAAAGAATATATCCATGAAACGATTTGAGCAGCTCCAATGTCATACAATATCAAAGAGTGTCACCTTAGATCATTTTATCACACTAATTGGTGACCCAACTAGGAGAGTAGTTGTTTCATATTTGATACTTAGCAAATGCCAAAATTGAACTTTTGGTTTGCTTTTGTTACGTATGCCATAATTTTCTTTTTTTTGTTTTATACATAGTTATGATATGTTTTCTGTTTGGATTTTGTACATTCCTCCTTTTACTTGTATATAATGCTCCTGATTATTTTGTTTGTAAGTCCTGTTACAGATGGACACAGGTGGTGCTGGTGATCAGCAACCTCAACAACCACGTGTTCTTCACACTATAACAAATAATTACAACTACAGGAAGAAGAGTATGTCTTCTTTCACACTTTTTGTTGTCGTCCCACCTTTTTTGCTGCTGCCACATTTGAGTTTTCTCCCGCACAAATTCGACAACCAACCCGGCAGGTGAATGTAAGAAAAAAATTGATTTTTTTAATATGTATTTTGACTCTTAATGTTTAAACGTTCTTCACACTATAACAAATAATTACAACTGCAGGAAGAAGAGTATGTTTTCTTTCACACTTTTTGTTGCCGTCCCACCTTTTTTGCTGCTGCCACATTTGAGTTTTCTCCCGCACAAATTCGACAACCAACCCGGCAGGTGAATGTAAGATAAAAATTGATTTTTTTAATATGTATTTTGACTCTTAATGTTTAAACACATAATTAATAATTGTCTTTTATTATGTAGGAGAAGTAAGAACAACTCCAGGAGAGGCATTTGGCCTTCCAGACCCCGAGCACTGTGGCAGTAGTGGTAGTTAGTCAGCCACTACGCAATCTAAGTTCAAGTTGTGGTTATAGGCGGCAGAAAAGAAAAAGGTCAAGATCTCTCGTGCTTCTGTGGGTGGCACGAACTTGTCACACTCAAGTACTGCGGAGCTTGCCAGGCAGGTCACTACTTTGATTGAGGAGGTTTACTAGATACATGAAGACCAATAGAGAATTGAGTGGAGTATGGCATGTCTAGCAGAGATTATAGAAGATCGTTGGGGCAAGCGAACGGTGGGTAGCTTAGGATGAAGCGGAGGAAGATGCGTAGGAGGATTAGAAGGGGTTTTTATGTATTTTTAATTTCTAAAATGTTTGAACTTATATTGAAGGTGCAGATGTAAAATTTTAATAATTTAGATTTGTGACAATATCTCCTTTTTTACTATTGATATATTTAAGAACTTTGATCTGTGATATGAAAACAAGCATAATGTGTTTTAAAAATAAAATAAAAAAATAAAAAAGATTAAAGAAATGCTATTATTTTGTTTGTTTTTTGTTTTTTAATTTTTTTTTTTAAAGTAATAGAAAACAAAAAATTATCCCAAACAAAGCTTTTGATTATGCTCATTGTTGGTGCCTTCAAAGCCAATATTAATATTGTGAATCCTACAAGGATTAAATCTCCTTACATTTCTTAAGTTTAATTTCAAAGCTACTACTAGTCAAATGAACAACAAATCATTACTTGATGAGCTATATTTTGCCATTGAAGTTGAAGTGTTAAAATATTACTCTTCTTCCCATTCTTACTCATAATTATGCGGGTTTTGAGGAACTATAAAGTTCATGATGCCGTAATTAATACTGAAGAAAGTGTAAATCATGATGTTGAAACTTCATAAAAAAAAGTTCCTTATATGAGTATAAGAGTTGTTATTTATAAATTGAAAATAAGCTATAAATATTTTGAATTATATTCACTACCAAAACTCAAATAATTTAAATGCCATAACTATAAATAATTTAAAGTGCATTATTTTATTAAAAAAGAATTGAGTTGATTAAAAGAGCTTTAAATGCTAGATGAAGTATTCCAAATCCATGATACCTTAGCTAAAAACTCCTAAAATAAGATGAAATTCTCCCAAGATAATTCATTCTTGAGAGATTTCATCCCAAGGCCTATATTTCTTGAGTAGGATTGAGCTTGATTCACAAATCAATATTGGGATGCAATCAAGCTAATGATTAAAGGTTAAGGAATACACTAGACAAACAATGCCACTATAATTAACACAAGTGATACATCATCAAAAGATTTATCCAATTAGGCATGAAACTTGATGCAAATTTTAAATTAGAAATTTTTTAAATTAATTTCAAAATAATATGTCTAATTTTAATAAATTTATAGTTAAACTAAAATATCTAAAGTTGACAATTCTAATGAAAAAAATGATATGATCCAAATCCAAATAAGTAAATCAAGCACTTGAAGTGTATTTAACAATTTTGGGACATTAATTAAAGGATCAAATAATTTTCAAATCTTACAACATGCGGCCAAATCAACAGTTGTGACTAGAGAAATTCAACAAATGTATTTTGTAGTTTTTTTTTATATTTTTTAAAATAACTCCCAAAAAAAATTATAAAATTGCTCCAATTCGACATGAAAATGACTTAGACTTATGCTTGGAGACTTAAAATTTTTTTAGCATTGATCTGACATTTGACATTGATGATTAGTACTTGTCACCGTCATCTTTTGATTATATTGTCCAATTATCATTTCCCGATAATCATCATTTGACCATCCCCCACTCAATTGTTATAGCCTATGCACAATCATCTGACCCTCGTTGTTTAACCAATATTACGCTATTGTCATTGTTTAATCTTCATTATCCAACTAACATCATTTGATCACCAGTATCACCCTTACACTACTTCAAGATCTAATACAACAATATGAGACAGAGGCTTGAATGCAGTACTTTGTAATTTTATAATCTTTATTTAAATAAAAGTGCATAACTTAAAAATTTTACTTATATAACGAAACACCGGTTATGAGTCAACAATTTTTTATAGTTTTAAAACATTTTATATTAAAAAATTTAATGGCTTTTGAGGTGTTCTCACTCTATTTTTTTAATGTCCATATAGAGTTCTCATGCAAAACTATGGTGCAAATCTTTTAATGGATAACTATATGACACTAAAGTATTATAAATGTTAATATCAAACTTTAGGCGTTAGAAATGTAAATACATTAGAATTGTGTTGTATGTATGCAAATTTTCCTTCTTTAAAATACTTGAAATATCTATTAAGTTTATTCATTTATTTTTTAATTCTTTTACTTGGATTAATTTTTTAAATTATCTAACTTAAAAATTAGTGGTATTTGTCTAATAATCCTTAAAACCTATTAATATATTGCGAGGTACTTTAATGAGAGAAAAAAAAACTCTTAATTGCAATTAAAGTGATTTTCCTAATTAAATTTAATCAATTATGTAATCAACAATGCTCAAATATCAAAATTGAGAATTGTTGACTTTAGAGGTAAGGAAAAAGTCTATAATTAATTTTTATTTTCTAATGCATCAAATATAAATCAAAGAAATTAGAAAGGGATAATTCCATACAAAGCACATGAAACATTGATATTCCACAAATTGATTGCCCATGTGATTTTTTTGAACTCAGAATCAATATTTATGCATGCCACCATGAAAATACTGAGACTTTGTTAAAAATGAAAAATATGGATTGAGGTTTTATGATAAATTTTTTATGTTTGAGTGATAATTTGAAAAAATGGATGAAAGAAAAGGGTTGACTTATAAATAGCAAGTTTTATGTGAAATGTATGTAATTGCCCCACTAAGAAAATCATATATTTTTAATATAATTGACTCACAAAAGTAAAGATTAAATATAATAGATAATTATTTAGGGAGTAAAGATCGATTGAAAAATATAAATGACTCACAATGTAAACTGCCTCATTTACAAAAAAAATTGCTTCTGAAGTTCAGACGATATTTTTAATAATCATCACAACACAATGTAAACTGTCTCATTTACAAAAAAAATTGCTTCTGAAGTTCAGACGTAAGCTGCGTTTAGACAATAACTACGATCTACCATAAGAAGCAGAGGAGAAAAAAAAATAATATTTAAAAGAAATTATTTGCTAAGAACACACCGAAATAGGTAATTATTTCAGATTATATCCCTCATTAAATTATGATTATATTGAAATTTAATAAGATTATATCCCTCATTAAATTATGGTAAAAAAAAAGAGAAAAAGGAGGGAGCAAAATCTCAAATTGCGCATATTGGTGAAAAGAAGGAGGGAGCAAAATCTCAAATTGCGCATATTGGTTTCAGTGCTTGCAAGGCATAAATGGTGCTTAAAAGAAGCCTTTTTGGTTAAGAATGATTGCATTAAAAAATTTGAACCCTAGGAATTTGCTCAGAAAAATCTCACCTTTCTCTCTTCTCAGTGTAGCCATCCATCATTACTCGAGCCTTGAAGCAACCAGCACCAGAGAAGAAGAACACGGCAAATTTGCGTTTCCGAGCTTCCACTTGCGGGAACAAACGCTCGTCTCTCTCTTCCATCCATGCTCCACCATGCGTGAGCTCTCCCAAATCCACGCTCTCATTATAAGATCGGGTTTCGCTCAGCATGTCTTCGTGGTCGGCCGCCTCATCTCTTTCTGCGCTGTCTCCGAATTCGGCTCAATGAAACACGCCAATGATGTCTTTGAAGACATCAACTTCCCGGATGCCTTTATCTGCAACACTATGATTCGAGGCTTCGTGAGAACGGGGAGCGAAGTAGAGGCTATTGACTGCTTCAAGAGGATGAGAAGGGATGGGAAGCAAGCGGATAACTTCACCTTCTCCTTCCTTCTCAAGCTCTGTGGTCAGTTATTCATGGTCGAGCTAGGGAAGCAGGTGCATTGCTCTCTTCTTAAAGATGGCTACGAGGTCCATACCTTCGTGCGGAACACTCTCATTCATATGTACGGCATGTTCAGAAATTTGGCCGCTGCACGCCACTTGTTTGACGAAATGCCTGTGAAGGATTTGGTGTCTTGGAACGCTCTCATTGATGGCCTAGTTCATTGTATGCAGTATAAAGAAGCGTTGAGAATGTTTGTGAGAATGCAGGAAAGTGGTATTGCACCAGATGCAGCCACATTTGTGGTGGTTCTTTCTTCCTGTGCAGAGTTTGGTGAGTTGGGTTTTGGTCAGCGGGTTCATTCCAAAATCAGCACTTGTGTTCTGGATGAGTTCATCTCTGTATCAAATTCACTGATTGATATGTATTCCAAGTGTGGGGCTATTGACTTGGCAGTCTTGGTTTTCCAAAGGATGAAAGAAAGGAACACGGTGTCATGGAATTCAATGATACTAGGACTTGCAATGCATGGCCGTGCACGTGAAGCATTGCAGCTATTTGAAGAATTGCAGCTGACAGAGTTTGGTGAGCCCAATGGCATTACCTTTCTTGGTGTTCTTTGTGCTTGCAGTCATGGAGGTTTGTTGGAAGAAGGAAGAAGATATTTCCATTGCATGAGAAGGGATTATGGAATTGATCCTTCAGTGCAGCACTATGGATGCATGGTAGATCTTCTTGGGAGAACTGGGCTGTTAGGGGAGGCCTATGAGGTTATAAGAAGCATGCCCACAGGGGGGAATGCTGTGATGTGGAGGACATTGTTAGGGGCTTGCCGAGTTCATGGGGACCTTGAGATGGGGGAGAGTGTTAGGAAGCATCTTATTGAATTGGAGCCTGACCATAGCAGTGACTTTGTTCTACTTTCGCATATGTATGCAATGGTTGGAAGATGGAATGATGTGCTTAATGTTAGAGAGGATATGCTGGGGGTTGGAGTTCAGAAGCCACAGCCAGGAAACAGCTTTATAGATTCCTTTCCTTGTGGTGAGATTCCAGCAACTGCATTTGGCATACCATAGAAACAAAGGCTCGGCTTCTTTTCTAGAGATTTGGAAAATTTCGAAGTAAGTG